ATATAGGTTCTAAATGCTGGAAACAGTCAACAAAAAAGATTGAGACGTTACGCGTAAGATTTAAGTTTGAAGAACTTAATGAATATTATCTGTTTTGGTTCAGTAGTAAAGTAGTAGATCGATAATGTATAATAGAGTTGTTTCGTTAATTATATATGGTCGTGATGCATCTCTAATGAAGGTCGCAATGCCTGAAAATAAAATAGAACGCCTTTTCCAAATATAAGAAATGATGAAATAGAGTTGGATTCGTTAATATGGGTCATTTGCTAGGAAATCACTGTTGAAGACTTTCAAATGGTTCTAGAAGAAAAAAAGTTCGTTATAGAAAATTACTATGATTTCTTAAGCATCCATGGCACTTTTATATCGAACTATTATGAAATTTTAAAACTTTGAGTCCGTTATCTCCGGAGGCACTGTATTTTTTTTTTTTTTTTTTGATCTTCGTAAATTAGTCAATCAGATGAATTTCTCCCTAGTGTCCAATAAAACAAGAATTCTATGAAAATGTTCGGAAGCTTGAAAAAATTCTAATATATTTGAAAATGCCTTGATATTTGGTTTTACTTAGGCAGTTAAAATTTTCCGTGTCCTCACTACGGACACGATCTTTGCAGTACTCGGGGCAGACCCGATAATGGTCACGTGCTGCAGTACATAAAAAAATTAGTGACTAATAAATAATCTATGCTACACTTTCAATTTGAGTCGGGATCTAGCGATCATCTCGGTACTGTACCATCCTAGATGTTTCTAGTGATATCAAATCATCTGAACCAGATCACTAGACCACGAGACTTTGGCTTAAAAAATTGAAAAGGGAGATGTTTAAAGTGTTTAACGTTACTCCATGCTAGTGTAAGGCCATTATTGCATCAAAATATATTAGGAATTGTTCAAGCAATGTCACTATAAGAAATACAATATATTACCGGTTTATAAGCTTATGGTGATTTTAGTGGTAGATGTGAGGTATGCTTGAGTATTGTGTTGTTGCTACGTACGTACGTACGTACGTACCTTGCTATTTTGTTGTCTAATTTACAATGCGCGCCGCCAGTTTGATGCTCCTGCAGAAGTCGGATCCAATAAGTACAAGACTACATTAATTAATTCAGGAATATTTGGGGGGCCAAAAGATGCACTTGTGATACGTGTTTAAACGTATGTATGTACGATGCGTAACCTGATGTAATTTATTTTTTTCGTCCACGTGCTATGTACTCGTGTTTAAGACTTTAGAATAATCATACGTGGAATCGGGAAAGATATTTATCACAAATTAATTCACGAATTCATTATGAAAACGCGATCGATGATTCTGGTAGTTCAATTTATCACATATAACTGTTACAAACGAAAACTCCAAATTAATGCAATGGAATCAACTATAATCTGATAAGAAAACCAGTTAGTCTATAGACCACCGTAAAAGATAATATACAAGACTTGGGTCCATTACATTCCGCCGATTTTAAAGCCTACCATTGACCCGGGCTATAGTGCACAGCTTAACATTCATATTGTAGCACGGTAAATTATCTAAAGTGCGTACATACTTTGAACTTACAATCAGTATAGATTTGCATTTATTTAAAGAGCTTCTGTGATTCGTACACTAACTAATGTATGTCTCCAAATAAAATTTAATTATAAAACTACTCCTGGATTCTAATAAAAAAGATTCCTTGCAAAATTTAGAGTGAGCTATACGTTCTAAAACTAACTTTACCTCATATTAAATGGGATTAATTTTTGTTTACAACATTAATTGTTACACGACTTTGTTTTTTTCCGGACATGTCCTATCAATGTCCCTAGAATTTTTTTTAATTTATAAAACTGGTTGTCTTAATAAAATTTTGAGTTATCAATAAATTATCCCAAATTTGTCCCAGAACCCAACACTGGGTTAGGGTGAGTGTGAAAAGAATAACCGTTTGAACTAGTTGAAAGTCGATCTGAACAATAAGAGCAATGACATTTATTACCTAATATCCTTTTACCATGGAAACTTACCGGTAAGATATTTTCTTAACCAATCAAGTAATTAATAAATTTTATATAAGATTTTTTTTTAACCCCCACCCCCAAAAATTTTAGCCAATATCTGTCATGACCCTAATTGTAAGTTTTATAATGGTTACAGTATGAACGAAAAGACCAGAAAAATAGCAAAAAAAAAAAACATATAAAAAGACACAAGTTGTTAAATCAAAACATCTTGCTTGATACTGCATCTCCTCATGACCCTGTCTTTACGAGATAACAAATCATACATTACCAATATAAAACACTAATGCTATAACATATAAAAAAAAATTGGTATCCCTTAAACGGTCAAGTTTACTTGCAAACCGTTTAAGAGATAAAAAATATATACGAGTGACACCAAGTGAAAACCGGACTTCGATCATATAATTTTATATTTTACCCTTGGCGTCATCTATGCATTTAAAGGACAAAAGCAATTAAGTTATTGAATATTAACGAACCCGCAAACCATCAAAATGGTGGCAATCGAATTTATTGACCCGTCATTATGGATGGTAAAGTTCTTAGGTTCAGAACCGTAGAATCTGAACTTAGAACCTAGTTTTTAAAAATCAGATTCTAATTGCTTATAAGGTTGTACTTAATAGGTTCCATGTGCTTGTCACCGGCGGTGACAATCATTGTCCAAGTGGTTGAGTCGTTGTTGTTAGAATCGTAGAGTTGTTACGTCATATTTTTTTTCTTTACTAGCGCTTTCTTTTTTTTTCTAGGTCATTTTTAACATCGTCGCCTCTAGGATAATTGTTTTATTATTATTTATTACTCAGGCACGATTTCACCGTTGTTGACGCTTTTATTATGGGTTGCATCGTTCGGATGCCTGTGAGAGTATCCACGGATATTCATTAAATACAATCTTAACTATACCGTATTTGCGCGAAATAACGCCCATGGGCGTTAATTCGCGCAAATACGGTACGACAAATATAATGATTACGGTTCAAGCCAAACCCACAATAAAAGTCGTTAAGCTCTCCGGGAATCGTACCACACTAAAACGACACCGTTTAAATTTGGAATATCTGCACAATGTTATTCGTAGATTACCAAGGCTCATGAAAATTCACTGAATAACTATGAAGATATTCAAAGGATTCGACCCCTAAATACAAATTAACGATGGTAAGGTTTATGCAATGAATTAAGTTGTTAATTTTACGAAATATGTGATGCATATTAATAAGGCATTGTCTTTATCCTTCTTGTCAAAAGGTTTTTTTTTTTTACAAACACTAAAGAAAGGCAATTTCTATTTCTAGATGTATGTACACGAGTATGTCGATATCTCAAAATTCTGATTATAAAACAACTTTTAGAGTTTTAACAAAAACTACTTGCATAAATCCTAACTATTTCTAACCTTATAACTAACTCTTATCCTAACTTTAAACTGAATTAATTTATTTATTACACGAACTTGAATTAGTACCTGTGTATAAATGCTAAGTACGTATATGTAAACTAATAAATTTTCAAAAAAAATAAATATGTACAAGTAATCTTTAAGAAGACAGTAAGAATTACTCCAAGGTAATAAAAAAAAAAATAAACAGGCTAGAGTGAAACCCGTGCTAAATTTTAGTAAAACCCAATTTGATCAAGTTAGAGTAAACCGCGTTAGTAATGTTTTCATGTGATCTGCATAGTGGATTCAGCGCGGGTTTCAGCCTGCAATAAGAATTAACTACATTTAATTAATAAAAAAGAAAATCATTACGCAAAATGCAATAATTGCTACTATTAACAAATAAAATATTGTCACGAAAGAAAAATGTAGTACTAATAAATTTTTATTGCGAAAAATTTCAAACTGTAGAATTTGTCCCCTTTTTTTTATAAAATGAATTAAACTATGTGATCGTCTTTAATTGTCGATCGCACTCTGGCGACAAATACCTTAATTACCGTACAAAACAAATCTTAATTTACACCCTAGGTACATTGTATGGCAGGGGTATATTATGCGGGGGTACTTTATGAAGAGTGTACTAGCCATTAGGAAAAAAATTGATCATTGATTTACACCAGGGATCTACAAAATATCACAACCAATAACCTTCGAAACATGCCCAGTACAATCAAGGGAGTGTAAATCGAGGGTAATCTTGCACAGTAATTTACGGTGGGCATGCTCTAAATTTTATTATTAACATATATTATACTATAATCACTATATGCATAAAGCAAGTTAACTTGTGTCAAATAATTTTATCGTTTGGGAGGTAAAGTGGTGATCGACGGATGATCGACATAAAGTATCTACTCGATCTAATATGAATATAAAAAGATCATTTATATAAATATTTGGTAATCCAGCAAACGTTTTTTTATATCCTTCGATTCATCTTGGTGAATTGTATAAGAATCATTAGATTCTATTTAATAGACCTTATGTTAACTTCGATATTATGTGATCTGCTATTTTACCCACCTGCCATATTACCCCCATTTACCTTATAAAAGTCAAAATTTTATTAATAAATAAATCAATATTAGCATATTAAGGAAAGTTATTCAAAAACTCAAAATATATACTGTTGAACCTCCCAAAACTGATCCTGTTAAATCTGATACCCTGTTAAATGTGATAAAAAATTAATCTACAAATACGTTTCTGCTATATAAATCTAATAGTTTATAATGTTTTAAAATCTGATACTTTCTCAATACTGATAATAAACTTGCCCACCATGCATATCGATTTTGGGAGGTTCAACAGTATATCTAAAAGTTTGATATGAATTAAGTAACTTTTTATTAATATATTTTTATTTTTTATGTCATACAAAAATATTGAGAACCAGGTTTAAAAATTTGGTTCTAAACCAAAACAGATTTAACTTAGGTTTGGAACTTATTATATAAAAAAACCCGGTTCTTAGAACCTAAACCAAACCTAAATTAACTTTACCATTTCTACATCTCTACCCATCATTCATGGATTAGAACATACTGCCTATTTTACTCGGCAGATCACTAATTCCACTTGCTATATCAGTGGGGCCTATACCCATGCTATTCATGATAACCATAGCAACACCAGCACCAACGGCTGCTCCAATTCCGGCCCAAACCGCACGTTTCTTATTGCTTAGGCCATAATTCAGATATTCTTCTTTTTCATCCAGTTTTCGTTTCAGGCTTTGTACTTTTTCCTTGACATCACCACGATCACTATCAACTTCTCTGAAACGTTTAGACGGCTCCTGTTTCGCAGAACGGGCCTGTAATCTCGCAGAAGTTCTTCGTGGGACCTTGACTTCATCAGATTTGATTGTTCCGTTAGGCGTTGATCTAACACTGTTATTGACAATTGAACGAGTGCTAGTAGTAGCAAGTGCTGTGATATTTGGCGATTCCGAAGTTTCTGTATGGGATGAGCCTTCACGCTCAGACTATATAAATATAAAATATATAAGTATAAAACTATTATTATTATTACTATTATTATTATTACTATTATTATTATTACTATTATTATTATTATTATTACTATTACTATTATTATAATAATTTAACGCAACGAAAATCGACAATCAACCAAAATAATTATAATCAATTGTACCTTAACTTTTGTGTTTTGCTTTTTAGGTGTATCAAACCAACTATTTTCTGATTCTAGTAGAGCGGCAACATGTTCGTATATATTGTATTTTTGAGCGATATCTTTAGCTAATGATATTTTATATAAAATTTGTAAACTTGTGATTATATTATTCTGAAAACGACTATGTTAACTTCCAATATAGTCTAACAAACGGAACGTACCATGTTCAAGAGGAACCCTTTGGTTTAGTTTAAATGTTTGTATTATATGAAGAAAAAAAAAATGTCAAAAGAGTTTGATAATTCTCCTTTAAAAAAAAAAAAAAAGTAAAATAATAACATACCAAACACCTTCAAACCAACCTTCATCAATAACTCGAATTTCTTTTATTTCACGCTTCAGCTTCTCAAGTTCTTCGTGCCAAGCCTCTTCGTCCTCATCACGAGGATATTTAATACGTAACAAATAATAAAGATTTACTTCATCGGTATCCTGCCTTCGCCAGACATCATACTCGTCCTCATCGAATCTGAGTGTGATTTCCAAGATGGGAACACTATCAACGAAGTGTCTGTTAACGGCGTTTGGATAAGAAGCTGATCGCCGCACGATCCGAGGTGATGACCGAGTTGGTGTGTTAGTTGAACGTTTACCACGACCTCTTGAACGCGGTGTTGCCATTTTTCTTGATTTAATGTCAGGTTTTGTCTCTAATTTTACGCTTTTGTCGACCTTTTCACTTTTGTCGACTTTTTCGTTCTTGTCAGGTTTAATGACTTTACTTCTTTCGGTTTTATCAGTAGCTTTTGCGGCTTGTGTATTATAACTAGTATGTACCATGACTAGCAACGACAAAAAAAAAAATACTGTGTCTGAACAGCTGCGATGCACAAATAACCACAAGAGGCAAACCGGGCGGAATTGTGAGGAAAACAAAGCCTTAAAAGGAAATTCACTGATGTCACCATTTTTGTGGCCGAAATTGAAATTGGATCCGAGAGATATACCCCACAATTATTTGGAACTTGGTCACACAAACAGTTGATCCGTAGACAAAGTCCCTTAACTTATTAAGGTTGATTCTTTGCCTAATACCGATATGCTGTTTTTCTGTCGTAAAACAATAACTTAATATTTACGCTTTTCTGTTGATTCAGATAAATTCTTCTAATATGAATTTCGCGTTAAAGAGGAAAACTTTCATGTCCCTTAAATGACCATCTATTACTGTAATGATGTTTCGTAAGGCGTGAAGGAATTGACCGATTATACAAGCCGTTTAAAATTACTAAAGTTTACATGTTCTCTGTCTTTATGCAAGCTATTAACAAATTTTGTAAGTTACATGTGATTACGTTACAAGTGCGATCTAGAGTGCCAAAGATCATCAGGTCACAGATTTACTTTTTTTTTTCTGATTAACTGATTCGGAAATACTGGCGGTGCAGGGAACTAACCATCTCTTTCTTCGGATCGTTATCCATGCATTGTTGTGTTTACGTTTAGTAATTAAACAATTGGTGATTTACATTGTTGTTCATGCATTACTGAAGGGATTGCAATGACTTCCAAGATTACTTAATAATTTGACCCTTATCAAAATGAATCCTTTTTTATTCTGAATGCCTGAATTTCAATTCTGATAGTTGAAATGTTTATTTCCCAAAACCATAAGTGGAAAGAAAATTTCAATTGACAATTATTATACAGTCAAATCTTTGTATGAAAGAAAAAATAATTCGTTATGATTGACTATACCCTCTGACTGGTTGTCGATTCTTGTAATTTTATTTGCTGTTATAATACAAGCCGCGAGTCAAATGGTTAAGTCGAGACATTTAACGTCTCGGCTACATCTACTAATAAATTATCGGCTCTAGAAATGGTGGGATTTAAGATCTTGGAAGTCGATGCGAGGCGTGAACTGATAGATTTGATTACATAACCATTAGCCATAGTAAATTCTTGATCACAACAGAAAATTTCATCGAATGTCTAAATGCATTTGGAAATAAACGAATAATAATAATAATATCACATGCTTGCTTTATATTGATTTATTATTGGTGCCCAAGTTGTAATACAACATAAATCTAGTACCGTCTTTAGTTACACGAAAGTCTTATATATACTTCTAGAAGACAAAAAAAAACTTTCAATACCTGTTGTAAACAAAAATAGTTGAGCGACATTAACAAATACTACTATGGTGCACGTACTACGTACGTACGTACGTACAGTACGTACGTATACTCGACAATTACTTGAGTTGTTTCAATTTTCAAATAATTATGCAAATGGTTATTTTAAAAACCGACCGGTAATTTTATAAAGCAATATAAACTCTTTAAAGTTACCAATCAGTTGTTTAAAATACTTTTCGCATAAAAGTTTTAGCAATTTGAAAATTGTTATGTTCCCATATTATATCAACTTCAAAACCTATCAACTCATCGCAGAAGCAAAATTTTGAAAAGCTAACTGGTAACTTTGTTCTTCACAATATGCTCTACAAAGTTACCGGTCAGTTTTTAAAATGATGTGTTTATAAAAAGTTGAATTTAAATTTTATTATCATGTGATTGTTGGGTATAGACATGTGCACCATATAATTCAATTAAATGAAGTTTTAATTTTAACTTTAAATACATATGTTGTAAGTGGGAATGGAACCATAATAGGGTTCGGAATCCACTTAGATTAGAACGGAATAATTATACCAAAAACCCCACCCTAACTCCGAATCAACTTAAATTCTATTTCCAACTATTATTTACTGTAATTTCATTTTAATAATAATTAAGCTTAATTTTATATTTAGATACAGTTAGATCTCGTTATAATCACTTTGATTTAGTTACAACTTGTTATAATTACATTATTTTTTTTGTTTTAGCTATTATAAAACATATAAATTTTGATCTTCATTTAGTTATAATTTTTTATAACTTAAAATTTTATTTTTTAACCTAATAATTATATTGAGATCTAATTATTTATTAATAAAAATATAATGATTTTTTGGTTTAAACTTCAAGAAACCAATCTATAAAAACATTATAGAAAAAACTAAGTAGATATTATTTTTAGTTTTATCTAGAGTAGATAGTTATTGTCGCAGATTAAAATGAATTCTGATTAAAATAAAACTGGGAACCTCTCATACCCACTCTTAGAGCCTATAAAACCTATATATACTCATTTATTAATAAACCTAACCCTAAACCCTACCCTAATGCTAAAAAGAACCCCAAAAAATGTCACTCAAAAAATTTTAAATTTTCCTTAAAAAACAGAAAAATATTGTTTTGATCAGATTTCATTTTAATTTGTGATAGTTATTTTTTTTTAATTCGGCAATCCTGCCTTTGTTTATTTGAGATTAAGCTATTCAAGAATTATATATATCTATCTGTAGCTATTGCTAATCTAA